GGGTCGAAGAGGGTTTAAATCGCCGCGCGTGCAGGGCGGAGGGCGCAGGGCGCGGCGCATAAAAATGGAAATGCCGCGCCCGCCCGAAGCCTCCGCCCGCGCTCGCGCCCGCGCCAGCGCCAGCGTCGCTCCTTCGGTGGCTCGCCGCCCACCCGGGCTGCTGACCTCATTTCGTACTAGCTCATGTGCGAAGAGTATGGGTATTATAGTGGGTAAAGTTAGGTAATGTTAGTAAAACAGTGCATCCACTGATGTCACCGCAGTGCATCCACTGATGTCACCGCAGTTCATCCACTGATGTCACCGCAGTGCATCCACTGATGTCACCGCAGTGCATCCACTGATGTCACCGCAGTGCATCCACTGTTATTACCGCAGTGAATCCACTGATGTCACCGCAGTGCATCCACTGATGTCACCGCAGTGCATCCATTGATGTCACCGTAGTGCATCCACTGATGTCACCGCAGTGCCCCGGACTGCGAGGTTCTAGTCTCGGCGGTGTGACAGGATTTTCGACTTGTCAGCTAGGTCGAATTCAGCCGCCTCAGGACAATTTGTGGCCGGCTGCTCTGAGCGGATAACGTTTTCCGTGGTTTCTCCGACAACACCAGCGAGTGGCCCGTCAGCAGATATCCTAAACAAAACTAGGATGCGGAATCTTCCGATCACTCCTCGTTCTCACACACACACACACACACACACATGCACTACACTAACTTGCCTCGAGACCGGTCGGTAAATGAGAGCTGTCCTGTCTGGGCGGTGCCCTACTGAAGGGAGATACCTGGTTTCGTAAAACCCAGCTAGCCGACGTGTAGGTCGGCATCGAATCTTGACATCTAATGGGAAAGATCGCCACCTCCCGATACTAAAAATGCACTACACTTACGGACTAACAATCACAGCAGTTGACGTGCCCGGAATCACTGACATTCAATCAATCATCATCTGATAAAAATCAATGTCGAAATATGCATCAAAATTCACTTTTTGGGTACACCTGAATCCCAAATAGTTATTTCGAATTGGTTGAGGTACATTCAGGATATATTTTTTTTACTTAATTTTAATGATTCTCATTTACTTGTTTACTAATAAACTAGTGGTTAACTTGTCTCGGTTTGTCCCTCCTATTTCGCTCCAATAATTACCTTTTATAAATCCTTTCTTAACAGAGCATGTAGCACCATTCAACTGTTTTAATCTTTTCCTCGTAACCATGATCTTCTGCATCCAGATAAGTTATGCTGTTTGAACTCCTAACCGAAGACAATAAGTAGCAATAACGTATCATTAAAAAAACTGTCTTCTTTTAAATGTTTGTCTGTCCTGTAGGTATGTAGTATGTCCGTCCATCCGTCCGTGTGTTTGTCTCTCCGCCTGTCTGCCCGTCCATCTGGCTGACAGGCGTTTTGAAAAAAGAAACAAAACATTTTTCTGCTGTAAGGGAACCTCCAAATGTTTTCCCCTCAAAATATCGACTTCGATTTATTGTACCCTTCCAGAACATTCTCTATACTTACTACGTATAGGAAGTAAAATGCTATAACGATTTGATTACAACGGCACCAATTTGTTTTCTTTTAACATTTTGTACGGACAGAACCTAACGCTCTGAATCGTTTAAAATGAGCGTTATTTCCACTAAAACTCGTGATTTTTCAATTGCAACACGAAAAAGTGACAACTTTGCCATACGGCAGTGTGATATTCTCAGAATGCTTCTAATTGTTGGTCAACATGGATAGGAACTATAGGAAGCTTTCTTTATTTACGTTTAATGTTACGATGTCGTGATGTTTTTATTATTTTATTAATATTTAATGTATTTTTTATTATTATATTAATATTTTATTATTGTATTAAAAACTGCGAGCGTGTGTGAATCGTGTTATCGTTGCTTGTCTATAGAATGCGCAGCAAATACTGTAACAGTTGGAATTTATTCATGTTTGTGTCATTTGTAGAAGTAAGAAATGGCTAATCTTCCTGACAATCGAAATAACTGCAGATATGGACCACAGGCCAATCGATTGAATTGGACTTCTTCAAGATGAAATGAATTTTTTATATTATAGTTCATGCGAAATTCCCGGCTTTGCCCGGGGTTTGTTTATTCCGATCCTTGTGAAAGAGGAATATGATAAATTTTTTATAAACCACGGTGTTTAAAATTGTGATTTTAACATTAATTGGTTCAAATTTTAATGAAATACTATATTTTTCTTTCATTTTATTTTCCAGTACATTGTTTTTTAGTCTAAACATTTTTATCGTATCCACTGACACTGGCCTCTGGCAAGTCTTTTTAGTATGAGTTCTCTCGCCTCGCTACTGACCCCTGGCGGAACATATTAATAATCAATCTGCTCTTAGCGACAGGCAAAAAATAATTATCGTGGTGCATCTACCAACATTATTTGAATTATTTATTTTCCGCATTTCTATTGTATTAATCTTTACCGAACTTTGCTAGGACACTATGGCAATTTTGAAGAAGAATCTGTAGAAATGTCGTATCAATTGATACACTACTTTTTGTAGTATATATGTAGATACATGTTGAAATCACTTTTATAAGTGTAGAAGATTACGAAACCGTTCCCATAAATTAGAGAAAATATATGATTTGTAACACACCTATTTTTCTTTCTTGGGTAATGCAAAATGGGCTGGTAAAAATTGTGAATGACCGATTTTAGTTGAATTTTCAATTGTCGAAAATTGCAGAAGTTACAAATAATGCTCAACAAAAAGACCGTACACAGTTATGGCAAGCTGCCAGAAAGTGTCGATTTGTCGATAAGAAAACACGATTATGGCGCATTGATTACGAAGAAATGTATTTTACAAGGTTGTTTATTCAGTAAATTATATAGTTAACTAGAAGACACGGCAATACTTTACTATTTGCAATGTATGTTACACTTCACACACTACTGGTCACGTAATTGTTTATCATGTTACGCTCTGCAAAAATATTAATGGATGAAATACTTTCTCGCGAGTTCGGGTTTGTTCTACGTCCTGGTTTGGACATGGTTCTTAAGTATTCTATTGTTAAAACGTTATCCTTCAAGTTTTAGCATGTATTGGCTTTGACACTGTCTTGGAGAAATTTGAGTTACTTGTCCGAAGTAACGTTCATGTAATAATTCCGGCCGATATTTCACAATCGCAGGGGCAGAATACGCAACGAAGACGTGTTTTATATTTGAGGATGCGGCGGGTTGCGTAGAGCTTCTGTTCGGGGGCGCTTGAGATTTCATCAACGCGCGTCGGTATGCGTCACACATATGCACATTCCCATTGAAATATGTCTGTATTCTTTGTACAAGTGCAAACAATAAGTTAACAATGTTTTATTGCACTCTGATAAAGCGCATAAAATACGAAAATACAATAAAGAAATAAACATTGATTTTTATATATAAGATTACTTTCTCGAATACGTAGTGTAGTTAGATTCCACGTTTTGTGGTTTCTTGTTAAGAAAATGTGAATTTCTCGCAGTGTCCGTCCGTCTCTCTGTTTCCGTTCCACCATCCGTCTGCCCGACCGTTCGTCTGTCCCTCCGTTGTTGGTGAACAACACATTAGCCTAAACCAGGGATTCCCCACCCTTTTCATCCTTGTTTGCTTCATCAAACCCCTTACGTTTTCTCTATAATCCATACTCCATAACATGACACAAAGAATTGCCCACAAATTATTTCAAGTTAACAATTTCGTACCCTAATATATATAATCTCGATTTTTGAGTTATCGACGATGCACCCGCTTTCGAGCATCTGAGTCTAATCTTCATTGAAATGAATTGATTACAAAATGTTAAGTGTTTTCCTTTTAAATTTCTGATTGTAATATTTCTCCAGTGCGTATTGCGGAGGGTTTCTTGAGATTCGAAGAGTCTTCGACGGGTATCGTTGTCAATGCATAGTTATAATTTCTTGAGTTTTCTAAACATTCTTATTCCTGAGAATGAAACAAGGATACTAAAGCAGAGGAGTGAATTTTGTAATTTATAAATATACTTAAGCTTTCAGAAAACAGTTAATTCAGTTCATTAATATATTTTGTAATCAACAAGGATTTGATTTTCCTAATAAAGCATCGATTCATATTCGGCTATTGAAACCAAATCGTCCCCTTGCTGTTGACTATTGACCCCCTTCAAAATTTCATCGACACCCGGGAGGGTCGTTACTGCCCTTGTTGGGAATGGCCTATAAACCCTCTGGCCTATAAATTAACCAAATTTTAACCAAAATATATTCCGTGAGTGATTTGGGTGATGTCGATTCTTAATTTTGAAACGAATATTTTTTATAAGGATAAATGCTAGAAATTTTCTCAAAATAACTTTAATTTTTTTCTTTCTTTTTGCTCTTGAGCGACGTAAACTGGCAAAGTAAAATGGCGTAAGTACGATTTACAGTAAAATATATTTCGATATTTCAAGAATTTATCGTTCTTTTCTATGCATAGTAAACGTCGTTGGAATATCAACAGCCGGATGGCCTAGTCTTGTGAATACGTTTGTTTCTCACGAAATCTATATGCCTCGGTTCTGATCCTAGCCCACGTAAATATTTGTCCTTGTTTGAAGTTTAACTAGAATTATAATACTAAGGAACTGTTACATTTCAAATGGGAAATTATGTGCTGTTGTAGCACAACTGGTTTAACTTGCAGACAGAATCATGTTATTTCAGTCTATTTTCGATTAATAAGTAATTGGGTTAACTTTAATATTAATGGAATATATTAAGTTTCCTGTAAAATTAAAAATTGACGCTAATATTCATGAATACTGTATAGTATGATGGTAGTTGGCTCATCCTCTTGGGAAAATGAATGTATGTTTCTTAGTTTTGGATTACAACATGTAGACATAATAATACAAAAATAAGCACATATTATTCAGTTCTTGGGGAAGGTCGATGAACGTATCTTGAAATAAAAAAAGTTATCGTTATAGATATTTGTTATTTGCAGTCTCAAGCATTTGATCTTATCTTTGAGGTTTGTTAACAATTGCAGGTCATATTAGAAGAGTTGAGATTATTTTTCTCGTACCTTCATTAAAAGCCAATCACTGCTCGGTCTTTGTCGAATGTGCGCTGTTTGTAGTGAGTTCGTATTTTTTCTTTACGAGATATCTCATTGTAACGACAAAGATAGAGGGATCGCAGCGGAATCTCCTTAAGGCCTTCCCAGACGTCGGCGAGGCGGCAACACCGCAGAGGAGCGGAGCGGGGCTGCTTGGCGGTGGTGGTGGTGGTGGTGGTGGTGGTGGTGGTTGGGG